TTTGCGTGTCTATAGTAACGAATACATGAATTGTTGTTTGATCCAATACCGTTGAGCAGCTGTTCGTTTGCGTGTCTCGGGGACCACTGGCTTGTGTTGGGACTTGAGGCTACGCGCTATGGGCGTCACACCGACTGAGGACGCCACGCAAACGAGAGCGTCGACATGCTTTGGCGATTGTGTTTCATCAGACCTGGCTGGATGCTATAGATGTAAAGTGAGATAGCCTAGAGTATGACCAAATATTGAACTGTCTAGTCAAACATGAGCGAAGCAAACCTGAGTGTTTAGTATCATCGTATCACAGTAGACTTAAGGCTCGCCACTCTGTTGTCAAGCGCTTTGTTGTACTCCTTAACCTCAGATTGGTATCCTACCTGTGTTTCGTCGCATCGACTCTTTGTCGGCGTACCACAATAACTACTAAGCAGATTATTCTGAAAGTGTATACTCGCATATTGTTGTGTAAATGAATTGGAGGCGCGTCGTTTCTCCAAACCCTGTCCACCCACCTTCACATTACTATTATAGTCATCGTAGTTCAGGCCGCAAGGAGCATGCAGAGGTTTGTACTGGTGACAGTTGGTGCAATGCGTCTTAGCGCTACAATTGATGGTTATGTTATCTGTGTGCACATCCAACAGATGTAACGGGCGGATTGGGACTGTATGAGCGCTTGAGCTCAGTTGTTGCTGTGCAGCATGTGAGAAGGGTGAAAGTTGACAATTAACACCGTGTGAATGAGTGACACCATGTTCGCCCTGTATAGGCGATCCGAGTGGAGTGATCTGGGGACCGCAGCTCTCGGTGGTGGCGAGGAACACTCTGCCATCATTGCCGAAGGTGTAAGGCTCGCCAGATAACTGACTGATATGGGCCAGGTTGTTGTAGCCAACCAACTCCGTCCGGACTGTGGGTGTATGGGCTAATCTGCGTTGAGCGCTTGCGTTCCGTTCTACAAGGTCCAACAATTCGGATGCCCTAGCTGGGAAACTATCATCATTAGCATTTCCACTCGCCGCTGCTCTTAAAACTTCGTCGGCGCTACAAGAGCGACTGTGCGAGGTTTTTGTTGTAGTGGATGCAATCTCCTGGTGATTAGTTTTACTACCAGCCGTTTGGGGAGTCAAAAACACTGGCGGTAATGCACATCCATTATTTGCAAGCCTCGGTTCTGGTGAGTTTATGTTGTGCAGGACGTTGTTCACAGGATGCGAGGTTACGTTTGCACGTATGTTCGTGCTTTTGTTTTGCAGCTCATACAAAAATTCATCGAGAACTGAGTGGGCAGAGCCCTTCCAGACGTTTGTATCGATATGCATGGTATAATGGTGTAATGCTAATAATATTCAGTGTGGTAAAAATACAGCAACGCCGGTCTGCTTATCACCGGAACGTTTCGCGACGTGTAAATTGGAAAAAAGTAACATCGCTATCGGTTGAGCATGCTGTAGTTTCGTTTGGTGTACGAAATGGGGAGATGTATACTTCGTCGTCGTGAGGAAAGAAGCCTTGATAGAGCAGTCAGATCACGTGCTCCGATCTGGCAGCTTTGCATTTTGGAGTCGTAAATCGGTTTCTATCAAATCATATTTGATATGGTTTTTCGTTTCTGCTGAGCTAATGCCGCATACCAGTGTGTGACTATAGGAGCCACGAGTTCAATGTTAAATTTGGGCAAAATCACAGCATTGATCTGACACTTCGAGGTGTGACATGTCGTCGAAACCGCAGTGATCGGTCATGCGCCTTCGCATATGGGTGACGATATGATAATAAACCGCTCACCTCGATTCCGGTGCTTTTGTCTGAGGTTTAATGTCCTAAACAACTGTATTGAAGAATTGCTCAAATGTGTTCTCAAAAATACAGATTACTTACATGTGCTCTCAATACTTTTTTAGTTACTTTTATGTTTATTGATGAGTCCTACAAATGAATCTCAGTCCGACGGGTGTAAGTCTCGAGCATAGACTCCGCTTTGCCCTCCGCATAACAGCTCAACAGATATAGCAGCTGTATTAAAAAAATAACTCAGAAGATGGTGGTCTAATAGATAACAGGAGAGCGACTAAAAAATGTAATCTTTCGTCCAGGTTATGGTAGACTATTAAAATCTGACGAATATCTATGAAAATTGTAACGTCACAGGCATACTTTTCTTAGTACGCTATTAACATCCCTGCCAATGTGTGAGGGAAAGCAATCCGACACATCATCTGCAAGCTCATGTGGCGGACATAAAAATAAAAGAATATTGTCCATTTAAAACTAAGACAAAAAAAACACCAATATGTTTTGCATCCTGGCCATTCGTGAATGCAATATAGCCGATCGATAAGCAGTTCACCCAAAGTCCTCAAATTGTCGATGGGCAATTTCAAGGCATCATAGGAATAGCATCCTATCTTGCTACTACGAAAAGTAGACTATGCCAAGACGTGACAAAGCTCGCACGGTAGTCTTCACCATACCAGCTTGTATAAGATATGGAACAAATATTTCGATACTCTGCTATTTCACAAGATTGGTGGACTGTACCAAGTGTACGAGTTATAAGGTCACAAGATTGGTGGACTATACCAAGTGTACGAGTTATAAGCGTCTCAAGTATTCAAGTAATCGTTTTGAAGAATAAATTATTTTTTGCAATAGATGTGTAACAGTATGCGGTCCACCTTACAAATACTTGAAGTCTTGCAATGCTCTTACAACGCTCTAAATTCATTCTAAATCCATGTGATCTACACGTGATAGTGCAAAAGTCTATCTCATAAGTGTTCAAACTCGTGTACACCTACAGCCTAGCGCTCTAAACCAGTCACAAATGACGATTAGGAGAATTTGTTACACAGGTAGAAATTCGTGAGCTTCTTCACTACTTAGCGAGTTTAGTTCTACGCGAATAAATGGATAAGCCGCAGGTTATAATGTGGGCGACCAAATGACAAACAACCCCACGCACCCCCGGGGGAGGGAGGAGGGGGGGTCATGATCAACCAGTTAAAGTGATATTATACGAATATATACCGCGTGATAAAGTGCTAAGGCTCTCGTGACAGAAGTAAAGTATAGATACGTACATGTAGCTATGACGCGGGAATATGGGTACTCTCTCTATAGCGGTGATAAAAATTTTGTGGTCTACTAGTAATAGTTATTTACATATTTAAATATTTATTTATTTGTTTTACATGGTCATAAGCTGATAATAACTGATAGCTCATATACTCGCGTAGGCTCATAGTGACATATAGTCAATTACATAGTCATATATAGTCCGTCTATATCATATTCTATATATAACTTTTATTGCGAACAAGAAATATACTATTATAGTCCATATGTAAATACCATATACTGATAGTCAAGTCCATACTCCATACTTCATACTCTATATATATTTTGTTGTAGAAAATTAAAAATAGCATAAAATAATTAAAATACAGTATACATATGTATCAGGAAAAAAAAACATTAGTTTCATATTTATATATATTTGTTTACTGTTGAGTACTGTTTGTTATTTTTATTTTTTAAACTTTTTACAGTATTTGTTTTTAAAAAACAATATATTTTATACATAATATTTGTTTAAAAAAAAAGCAATACATAAATTGTTTGTTTTTAGAAGGCTATGCGTAAATCATAGCCTTCTTTTTTTACTGACAAAAATCACAAAATACCAGTACAAATCCAGTATGTAAATATATTTACATAAATACATACAGTAAATATTATGTTTTGTTTTAGGGTTTAGGGGCCTTAGAAAAGCACCTTTTTGCAATAATGTACATTATTCAAAATCAATAATGTCCATTTTTTATTTAAATGGACTCCCGCAATTCATCCAAAACTAAAGGCCATTATTTAATTATGGCCATTATTTAATTATGGCCATTGTTGAAAATTATATATTATATTTTTACAAAAGTTTCACAAGATAATATTATTTTTTTCAAAAATGGCAAGTATGTATGATACAATGTATGAACATGTGGTATGGCTCTCATAGTCGCTGTAGTGGTTCAGGAAAGATTGATGGGAAGAAGTATTCAGTAAATTCCCGTTTGAAGCTTGGGTCAAGTGAGTCGACAATAGAAGATATGTGCTGAGTCAATTCGGGCCGGTGTTCAAAACACTGTTGCTATCGAATGTTCCATATATTCGCTTGCTGACCTACTAAATAGAGTACCCACCTCTGTGGTACGGATCGGGTCTGCGCCGTGTAGTGCCGCGGAATGGGTTAGTGCAGAGTACGAAATACCGAGAAGGACCAGGTTATCCGTCATAATCCGGTCGAGAAGCGAGGATGGGGGTAAGCCAATGCCGCACCAGACCACGGATGATTTCGGTATGTGTTGCCTGGCCTGGATCGGAAGTATCGTAGTCGGAACCAACAAGCGCGATGATTTGGTTTGAACCGATATCTGGAAGTAGTACTTCAACAGCGTGATTAGTCGGGCAATGTGAACATGTACGTACTCGTTACAATCATAGCACACATCCGGATTGGTGTAGACTCGAAGCAGCGATTGAAGCTGTCGTGTCTGGCTGTGTCACGGTTTGAGGTTGGCGGTTTACCCATAATCAGTTGGTAGTAGTATTGGCGCCGGGCCATTGCCGCGATCTTCTTGTTGGACCAGCGTTTTGTTGAGTTCTTCCTGATGTCGTCACAGCGTTGGCGGAGGGCTACATGGTCAGGTGCACGCCCGCCCGTGGTTTTTTGTACAGTTTTCAGGTGAGCATAGATACTGTACGGGAAGCGCAGTGATGGTTTATCGTGGGCCCAGGCGGGTTGCGTCAGAGAGGTAAGTGTATTTGTGCTTGCCATTGAGTCGAGTTGTATTCCCAGCCAACCGCTGAGGTAGTCTGCGAATGGTCGCGCGGGGAGCAGGCCGCAAAAGTGAAGTAAGTTTGTTTGATGTTTGGGAAACCGAGTGTATTTAGTGCCCGTGATGATGGCTGCTGCTTGGATGAGTGCTGAGTTAAAGCGCTCGAATAGGGGGTCCAACGCATCCTTCCATATAGGCGGAGCCCAGGCAATAATGTTAGCCCATATGTAGCCGTGGATAGGATGAATGTTTTGAACATCACCAGTCGGTTGCGAGGGTGTTGCCAGCTGAAACCATGGAAGCCATAAGCGCGGAAAGAGGCGATACCCAGTGACAATGCTGCAACCAGGTATTCCATATGTCTAGCGAGGTTGATTCCTGGTACTCCGTCCTCACTTGTCCCAAGCTTCAAACGGGAATTTACTGACCACTTCTTCGCATCAATCTTTCCTAAATCACTACAGCGACTATGAGAGCCACACCATATGTTCATACATTGTATCATACATACTTGCCATTTTTGAAATAAATAAAATTATCCCTATTAGCGTCGGGGCGTCCTAATGTCCGGCGTTTGGTAGAGTGCTCCACTGCGGCCTTCAGGTAGAGGACATAAATCCCATCGGAGCCAGGTCCCTTATTGGAATAGCGTAGTATTGCCTCCATTACATCGTCGGGGCGTATGGTGGAAGTGACACCAGGAGAGGGTTCGGTATCCGGTGGAACCACATACGGGTTTGTAGAGTTGAATAGGGCCTCAAAGTACCCAGCGAGGGTAGCGCCTATGTCATCGGTACCCGGTATGCAGGGTTGGCGTGGAGACCGTCGTTGGTACGCAATATCTTTGAACATTTGAGTATTGCTTTGGGCGGTCAGACGTGGGCAGAACGAGTGATTTGGCAGCCGCTGAACCCAAGGTCTGTTTAAGTCATAATAGAACCCTCCAAATATTTGTGGGTTAGTGGCATAGCACCAGATGCGGTCGAGGATTCGTAGCATCCCTTCCGCTGGTCCATGTAAAGTGAGATACGACCGTAGTAGGTTCTGATGCGCCCGGATTTTAGCTTGGAATAGTCGCGCGCGGGATTTTTTGCGTAGGTGATACAGTCGATGGCGATATCGTTATATCCATGAGAGGGGAGGCGTTGGTCCGGAGGCGGCGGCATTGCTGGCATTTGTTGGGGCCGATGGATTTGATTCGTAGGAAGTATCTGAAGATCGAGTCCAAAGGTGTAGTCACCACAGATACCGTAGTCCGTCAGCTTATAAGTTGGAGGGAGGCGGGGGTGGTAGGTCGATGATACGCATGTTCAGTACCAGTTGAGCCGCCAGCATAGAGGTACTCCAAGTGCCACGTCTTACGCATAGTAGTCTCAATCGTTTTTATACGTAGTCCGTGATTTGTAGATGCGTGGTCATACTTCCGGGCTTTGAAGTTGAAATCTCCCCACACGACATCTGGTTGAAAACCGCCAATCTCGGGGGGA